AGGGCTGGGACTATGTAACATTCCTTCCAACTTGAAGGTTATTTGTCAGAAAGCAGTGGACGGCATTTAATTTATCTCAGGTCACCATTGCCTGAGTAATTCTGTAGTTTCCCCCAGCATTGCTCCAATATTACCTGCATACAGGCCACTGAATTACTTACTGGCCACCTCATTATCAAAAACAAGGGAGCATGAAGAGACAACACTCCGATGCTTATATAACTCGTGTAAAATACAAGTCATAATGTATTACTGAGAAGAGACAATATTATACACGTATCATGAAGGACTACACAAACGTATGTGATGGTGTTTTACAGAGCTTCTGAATCCCCAAAGGCCCGCTGCCCTTTGTTCAGGTTAATGACGAAGAGACTGGACTTAATATAAAAAAAAAAATCAGTTCTTAATACAAATTCACACTGAGATTTTTGGGGCACATCCAATTTCCATAGCGACTGCATAAAGTACACCGGCACAGCAGAAATCAACATATCTGAGCCCGGGGACAGCGAGCATCCTCCGTGTAAGTAAAAACGGGTGGTCCCAGTATCCATCCTTTTCCTCCGCAAGTTCAGCACAGGTCTTACACCCTCAGACCCCTGATTATTTCAAGACCTCCTGTCACCCGTTCACGTATTTCAAAGTCTTACTATAGAAGCTGGCTTTCTGCGTTTCTTTTTCCAGCTGTGGCAAGCATTTGTGATTTCCCTAAGATGTGAGTGGTTCTAAGCCCTTGCCCAGGGACGTCACGGTAAGGGATTGTATTTTCTACAGGGTCTACCCCGAGTTCCTGAATGGGAGGCTGGTGAGAGGAAAGACGGGGGAGTTCGGGGGCTCTCCTTAGCAGGGAGCGGGGAAACGAGCGGTGTCTGTGTTCCCCGGGTAATCGCGACTCCCGCCTTGGAGGCGAAGAACCGTCCCCCAAGAGCCAGAACGCCGACCGGGGAGCCGTGGCTGGACGAGCAGGTTCTCCAGCTCCCGAGCCCGAAGCTCAGTGCTGGAGGCTGCCCGGGATCCCCGCAACCTCCGGGCACCCCAGCCCCAGACTTCGGCGACATCTGCCCTCGGTCGTCCCGAAGCCAGCCGGAGGCGCCCGGCCGCGTTCCCACCCCCCTGCCCCAACTCACAGCCAGTCTCCTTCTTAATCTCTTCCAGCTCTTCGTCCCGCAGTAACGTGGAAGCGCGAGACCCCATCGCCGAGCCGGAAGCTCCTCCGCGAGCAGGAGCTCCTGAAGCGACGGCGGAAGCGGGAGGGAGAGGGAAGAAAGAAAGGGCCAGGGGTCAAGAAGGAAGAGGGCAGTGTTTCCACAGCGGACTGGGGAGGGTACCCAAGGGTGGTGCGCGGGCGAGGGCGTCCCCGAGGGCGGCCAATGAGGAGCGAGGCTGCGCCGGGCGCAGGAGACGACGTCGGCGCTCCCGGCTCCAGCCCCCGAATGAATCACCTCAGCGCCCAGCCGGGTCTAGCTGGAAACGGACCCGCCCCCGGAACTGTGACGCAACCGTCCTTAAAAGGGCAATGCCACTCTGGCTCTAGCGACCGCAATTAAAGGGGCAACGCCATTTTACTCATTTGACAAGCTGACCTGCGACAGGTTTCTCACAGAACTCTAACATAGAAATCCCCACCCTACGGATGGCACGGAGAAACCATAAAGACAGAAAGACAAATGCTCGCTCGGGGGACCTCTAGGGTGATTCCTGGGAACGGCTTGCTGGGAGTTGCGCTTCCTCATTTTCCAGGGCAGCCCTCTCTCCTCCTGGCCGCTGGGGGCGCTCTGCCATCGGCCTCGGGGCCGCGCGCTGAGGAACAGCCGGCCCTCTCGTTGGCTCCGGCCGGAGGCCAACGGTAGCGTCCTTTTCTCGGGTCTCAGGTAACCGGCGCCGCGGGCTGGGAGTGGCCGAGAGTTCTTCCGTAACAGCAGCCCCTTTTCACAGCTCCAGGAACTCACCATTTGGCGAAAATTGGGACCGAATTTCCCAAACTTCCTTTGGATAGAAACACCTACCGACAGAGAAGAGTGAATTCCTAGCGTATGGCTCGACTTTTCTTTGAAGTTTATGTTGTCTTAAAAACGAGAAAATTTGGATTTAATTCTTGTTTGTCACCCTCGCCCGAGGATATATTTACAGTATAACCCAAAAAAATGTATGCACATTTGGAATAATTACAAAGGCAGTGTTTATTAAAGTACATTTTCAAAATTGAGCTATCAGCTCTTAAAGTGTGTGTACATTTGGGGGGGGGGGGAACACCCTGTATTATTTTTTTAATTGATTTTAGAGAGGAAGGGAGAGAAAGAAACATCTACCCGTCGCCTCCCATACGCGCCCCACTGGGGACGGACCCGGAGACCTGGGGCGTGTGCCCCGCGGGGATGGCACCTGCCGCCTCTGTGACCCCGCCTTTCCGCGGAAGGGACCGCGAGCCAAGCAGCTGAGCCACGCGGGCCAGGGCTGCAGTTTATTCTCATGGCTTGTGTGTGTTTTCTTGAAAATAAATGTCCCCCGGGAAAATGAGGACAGGCTCTCAGGGAACTTGGTCTTTGCCTGTGGGGGCCAGGGCCTTGAGACCCTTTCTCGGCCCTTAGTGGGGGGGTTTGGGCGGAACCGGTAGAAGTCCCGTAAGGCAGTTGGT